CCCCAAACCAGCTGATCAGTCTGTTCTTCCGTTTGTGTTACTATTATAGCAAATCGCATTGAATTTTATCCTTACTGTTTACATGTCACGCATTTAAATAACGGCTTTTTGCGCCTATTGCTTTAATTTTCTGCTTACTTAATTGTTTAATTTGTCCGCATTAATGTATCGACAATGCATCTAGCTTTTGTTTAAACTACCACGAATGGAAAATTATGGTCAATTAATTTAGCAAACGACAATTTTCATAATTTATGTCGGCGCTTGAATTCATTATTCCATAATAGCGAAGAGTGTTTTCATCACTGTCGTTTAGAAATCGCTCTAAGTTACTCTGCCTCTGGAAACATAAAATACAATTAGATTGCATTCGTTTGATTAAACCTTATTCTTTCCTTTACAGTACTTTATACTGGAACACAGAGCTTGTTTCAGCTATTTGAATTCGACATTCCTAAAAAGATATTTGTTACATATAGAATTCTTAAGGAGTTTGGATAGAGAGGGTCAAGGGTTTATCGTTTTTTAGAAACATACATCAATTTCGATTAATGTGGTCTCCGTTAATGTAAAAATAGTTTCTAATATGCACTTTTTTCTTTATTTTTGGAAGTATATTTTCTGCACCTTTTCACTCCTTCACTTTCCAGAGGTTTTACTCTTCACATTGAGTTATAAAAGACCACGATGAAGGGCGTATTTTATGGGTTAGAAATCGTCTCAATGAATTAAGATTACCATGAACTTTTCTTCCTAACCCTTCCACCCCTGAAGAAATTGTTAAGTTTATTTCTCTCTATAAAGCTCTCCTACGGAATTTCAAGTCGCTTGCAGATTGACGGGCCTTCTTCTGGACTAAATTGTGTGTTTCACCTCCATAAACGTCACTGATGTAAATACATGATCATTGCATTCTTTCTAGCTATAGCTATACACCAAAATTAACCATTTATCAGCAGTTTTTCTCCTACCCACTTATGTAGTGAAATCTGTTAGCATTTATGCGAATAAGATTATTGATAATGGGTCTACGTTTCCAAAACACGATATCCCTTCTCTTACATTATTGCTAATGTTCATGCACATATAAGACTTCTTCAAAATATTAGTTTGATTAAGCTGTTATTTTGAGCAGTGAAATAGCTCAAAGTATAAAACATTTAATTTGACGCAGTTCAGATCATCCAAATGGTTGATCGTATGGAATTGGAATCTCCATCGCTAAGATTTTCAGAAACTGCTGTGTGTTATGATTAAACCCGAAGATACTGATATTATGCATCAGATCAATGACTGTTATATAAATAAATATTTTCATATTTATAATTGATTCCTTCAACTTGCTAACCTCAATGACAGCCATTTTTATACCCCTACAAATGGGATATTTCAACAAAACAACGTATTATTTGTAGCTATATATCTTCATACCATAAGTATGGCGAATTTTTTTTCTCCTGATAAATATTAAATGTACATTTAGACAAGCTCAGCATGTTTGGCAAAGGCAAGACAGGTGTAAACTGCTGAATAATACCTATTAAAACTGAGAAGAAAAAATGACTACTGGCATCTGTATATTAAGCATTTAAAGCGTTTGTGGGCCTGGTAAGTAGAAATCATATATTTGTGCAAAATTAAAGAACTGAAACTCATTAATTTAGCTATAAACACCACCACTACGGTGGTTAGAGTTATTTGTAAAGTGTCATGTTATTTTAATATAAATTGACCACAAAATATCAAAGATCAACATTTAGTTTAAAAGAAAATGTAAAGAAATTTCTTCCTTTTATTATTTTCCATCTATACATACTTTTTTAACCTGAATGGGTAGTTTTTAAACTTGGTTTAAGTACATCAATTTACATTCGACACTTAATGCTAAACCAAATGTTAGGGCAATCGATATTGCTTGGTCTTGAATATTGCTTTATTTGATAAGGCGTATTATGGCTCATCCAAAGCGGCATCGCGCCTGGTCGTTTTCTGATGTAAGGAGAAATTGTCTTAACCATACTTATTTCTTTAAATTAAAATGTTATTGTTTATTGTCATAAAGTTTATACGGACTTTTGCTAATTCGTGGACATCGAATTTGATCTTATATTTTTGTTTTTTTTATTTTAATTTTCGCTGATTATATGCAGTCTGCATAATTTTTTCATTTTTCTATCAAATCACATTATGCTGTTAATCTGAGTGCTTCTATGAGTAGTCAGGAGTTAATGTTTCACTCACCGCATAATACTTGTACATCCCTTTTAGTGTCCAAATTTATCGGAATGTCTTGGATCTTCAAACATTCTGTCGGAAACTCCATCGAAAGTTAACAATTCCTTTAGGAGAGTTAGAACCTTTTCTTGTAATCCGCCTGTCGGCTCATTTGAAGATCTCGTTCGTGAGGCGGAGATACATACTGCCACTCTTCCATTTTCATCCGAAAAGCCAAATAATGCAGTTCGCCTCTCCCCATCATATTCGCGTTTTTGTCCACTTGCATATAATGATCAATGCCAAACTAAACATAAATCTCCTACAGTAGTTTCACCTTCTTTAAATAGACGCGTATGCCGGTCTCCTCCCAAAGTGGTTTTTGGTCAACCCATCGTCTCATTTTCCTTTCCAACAGATAACATTATCAGACCCTCACCCCTTACTAACTCTCTTCTTATCGAATATTTGGCTCTTGTAAGTTCATAATTTATTATTATCGTTCTTTGCTATTTTGATTTTTTCCCTTTCTCTAATCACGTCATGGGATTGGCGATCTTGTTGATTATACAGACGCCGTAATTTTTACTTTTAATCTATTCTATAGTCACTGAGTTTGAAGTTCTTTCCAATTTTTGCCTGTTTTACATTTCATTAAAATTATTTAGGTCAATCATAATTTGAATCGAAATTTGAATTGAATAATGGGCTTATTTGCTATTTAAAGAAAATACTAAAATAAAGTTCCAGGGTTCGGGGCTTAAGGAATGATTGGGCATTCTTTTACTTGTTTGACTTTCCCTAACTGCAGTCGCCTAATCTGGTTTTCGCTGCTCCGAGTTCAAAGCTTTGTTTAAAGTAACACTGAATTCTACAAGCGTCTCATTCCTTTTTTGCTTAAGTAATGGTGTAGAACATATTTTTTGATTTAGGGGGAGGGTGGCGCCACTCTCAAATTTGGAATTAAATGATTTACCTTGCGAAGTAAGTGCGATTCAATTTGAATTTTATATGCTTTTTTATTAGGATCTTCCTTGATTCGAATGTTTAAAGAAGGAATTGTGGATGATCTCTTCTATATTCTCAGTTTTAGTTTCATTATTTACGTATAAACTTTCCCACACTTTAATCGCTATTTGTACTACATTTAAGGGCAATCTACTTGGACATAGTTATTATAGTGACTAACTTATTTTACTACAGTGATATTGATATTCTTCCTTATTGTCCCAAATGAGGAATGTTAAAAAAAATCATATTTATACATTGAGATGAAAGACTGAATTGAAATGTGGGCGTGGTTTATTAATCCGTTGGAAATAGATGTTCTTTTTTCTAATGAAAAAATGGATTAGCATTCTTTTATTAATTGTTTTTAAGATATAATTTTTTTCTTAGCATTGACCTAAATATATGGCCGTCGTTTTACACGATTCTGAGTAAATCACTGAAGTTTAATTAATCCTGTTTTTAAAATAGGTGCTATTAGTCTCCTTACGCATCCCCGATTGTGCACGCTTTGTAAGCTATTAGGTAAAACCACTCCCTTTGCTAGAGTTGATATTTGGCTGAGTTTTGTACTTTTTAAACGTTAAATCATTTTTTCTTTACTTGGCTAACTTCGTGCTCATCTTTCTAGAGTAGCTTTTGACATTTAAATTAGTGATTTTTACAACTTTTCCAGAAATCATCGGATAAATAACTTGAATTAGTAACAAAGATAAGAGTCGATAGATTAGTCCAGTAATATGCCGAAAAATCATTTGAAAATGGAGGTGTTACTTTTGTGTAGAAATTCAATTAAATTGATTAACATCTACAATTTAAATCAATTGAATTATATCAAGGTTAGAAGCAGCAGTTTTATGCATATGATATTTTTATATTTGTGATACAGATATTGAGTTTTTACTGGATATGTTTTCTAATGTAAAAGATAGTAGATTTTATCTGGGACTTGGTTTGTTCTTGCATTTGTCAGCCAATTAAAAAAAATTGAAAATGAATAAAATTGTCCCTGATATAGTGTCGTTATTAGCATATGTAGTTTGTTTAAATAATTTATGTGTTAAATAAGTATATATAGATTAATTTTTTAAAGGTGTCCAATTTCCAATTTCATCTATTATTATGTTGTGAGAAATATTATGATGCTTAGTCCTATTTTAATATTTAAAAGTCGGTTCTAATTGGCAATATTTACTTTTTCAGGTTACTACTGATAATCCCTATGGGGGTCTAGTAGGTCTTTCAGAGGACGGAAAATCCAAAGAGTCTGCTCCCGAAACATCATTATCTCAGCAGCCCCTCTCTCCTGAACCAGGGAAGCGCATTCGCAAGGTGGATGTCACCTCGGGCTCCCCTTTTGCGCCTTCCATGTTGTCCTACTTTCAAGAAGGCGATAGAGTTGATGGCACTTCTATCAGATCCACATCTCTAAATGTTCCCTCCAACCCCTCTTCCCTTTTGGATCCAGCAACCTCGTCATCAAGGCGTAGTGTGAGTACTATTTGCCGTCCCACGGCCTTAGACAATATCATGCTGGATGAAGATGTGCATTTGAAGAAACTCTCCGTTCAAGTTGAGGTGGATCAGTTGAGAAGTATGCTGCATGAATTTGAACGAACGCACCTGCTCAGAAACTCTTCAAAACGAATATCTGTTACTGAGGCTCCTCCAAGTATTTCCATTCTTTTTATTTTATTTG